CTTTTCAATTGTGGCAGTGGTCACCGGCTCAATTGGGCATTGAGGTGTATTGGGCACCTTGGACGTCTGACCCAGTCCAATGGGCGTATGATCCGATCAACTGGACACCGGCCGGCCCAACGGATTGTGGATTTCTCACACCACCCCGCTGCCTTGCGGGTCATGCTTTGGCTAGCCGAAGGCTCCGGTTGTGGATTCCTCAAGAAAATTCACCTGCCTTGGCCTGGGCAACCTGCAGTACTCAACCCACAAGCCAATCATAGAACATTTTCTTTTTTATAAAGGTTATTGTATCATGATTTGTTTGGCACACACAGTCTGTCCTCAGACAAATGTGAAATATAATAAATGATAATAACAACCGGAGCTTCGGGCTGACCAAAGCCTAACTCGCAGGGCAGCGCAGGGTGGGGCGGGGTGAGGAAAACCGGAATTCGTTCGGGGGCCGGCTTCAACCTAATCGGACAGAGTCAAACGTCCCAGGTGCCTCATACAAAACTCCATGCTCAATCGAGTCGGTGACCATTGCAACTGGTCTCGATCGTTTTCGGAACCGCATAGCACCTGCTGCATACACTGTCAACTGTCACAGATAGCGAGATCTCGTAGATGTGCTTCGATTGGACAACTGTCGATCCAGAGCACAGTCTGCGTGCGCAGATCCCTACAGAAGTTGTTGGGCCTGATCTGCCAAGTTTCGCAGTCGTAGAGCGTACCGTTGCACATGCCCGTTCAATTGCAGGGATATGTCGCCCCGGTGCCAGAGTGCCCCAGATTAGCAAACGCTAATCAAGCTTTCATTGCACGTTGAAAAATCCTCACGCCCACACTTCTGTTAGCCGTTATGCAACTCCCCAAGTAGATAAATCTTTCGACTATTTCCCGAGTATGCAGAAAAAAGTGCCGTACTAGCTTCCCGCCACTCTTGCTTCACTAGCGCTGAAAACATCCAGAATAACGCTTGCAACTTATATCTACAAAGTCAAAGTTTTATTATGGGCGATTTAACAAAGCTGAAGCTTATCATGCCCCATAGGATTTTTACAGAATATTTTGAATAACTTAACAAAGAGAAAATAATAATACCAACAACAATTTCCATAATCACTCACGAATGTTGAAATTTCAAGTGCCTTATCAAGTTGCGATTTAAATTGTTCAACTGTAGGAGCACACACTACATCAGATGAAAGAGAATTCCATGCGCCGACTGACTGCAAACAAGTAGTGCCGGCAATCAAGGTGGCTGTTCTGGGTCTTCACCTTTAGTGGATGTCCCCTGAGGTGATCATTATGAGATAAAGTCAGCATAGAACGGTAAGGGTGGTTAGGTTGATGCAGTATATGAAATTAGGTCCCCTCGAAGTCGGCAGTATTAAGATGAGTCGAGTCCCAATATTTACAGTCTTTCAGAGTATGTCTTGTTACATAGATTTTTTACCAATTTCGTTGCCAGCCTTTGTGGACGTTCTATTGCCTTCTTGTCGCGGTCCAACCATGGATTCCATACTTGAACGGCGTACTCTGTGTGGCCGAACGAACGCTGATAACAAGTGTGGGAACAATGCTCTTTCGAACTGCCCTAAAACACGCCTGACTAGTCCACTTTGCCTTAGAGCCATAGATGATGCTCTGGCAAAGTGCGTGGAACATCCTACGTCATCCTGTACCATAACTCCCAAGTCCCTTTCATCAGTGGCATGTAGTATTTGGTTCCCCAGAACATAAGAGAAACGAGTCTTATGCTTCATGGAAATAACTCTGCATTTGGAAAAGTTGAACTGGATGTCGTTGTTAATTGACCATCGGCGGGCTACGTCGATCGTTTGTTGGAGTGGTATCTAATCCTCAGGATATGTTACAGTTCTCCAGATCTTAGCGTCGTCCGAAAATAGCAGTGTATTAGGCCCAAGGAGATGTGGTAGGTCGTTTATAAATGCCAGAAAGAGACGAGGCCCCAGTACGGATCCTAAAGGAACCCCTCGGGTAGCGGTGATAGGCTTTGATAATGAATCACGAACACGAACTGACATGGTCCTTTGTCGGAGACACTCTTTGATCCAGTCCAAAACCAAACCTCTTACTCCGTAGTTGTAGAGTTTTCGCAGTAGAATTTGGTGGTTTACTCGATCAAATGCCTTGGAAAAGTGCAAATAAACTATCCAATGGCTGATCTGTATCGCCGGATTTTGTCCACGCATCCCGTGCAAGGAGTAGGTTTGTGGTGCACGAACGCTTGTGCCGATACCGTGCTGAGTTGGAGACAAAAGTTCATGCTTCTCCAGGCTCTCTTCATCAACAGATCTGCCACAATAGTTTCCATGAATTTCGACAGTAAGAAGAAGTGTAACAGAGCAGTAGTTGGCGAGATCACTGCGAGATCCCTAGTGAAATCAATATGCAATCACGCAATCATCCAGACGCGAAGCTGCCTATCGCCATGGTTTGTCTGATGTGACACGGACAGACATTTTGACCGAAAGCACATCAGTCACGGTAACCTAAACCGGTTACCCGGCGTCTCTGGGTTTGAGTATTAACACTAATGAAACAGCGCTCTCTCCAAACGTGACACAGAAGTTCTCCAGTGACAATCATGTTCACAAACGCCGGACTCCGAACAAGATTCCACAGTCAGGACAAAATGAACACAAACACTAGGTGGCATTGGGCTCCGTGAAACTACCACAACAGATTCGACAGTTGAGTGCAGTCACTGCATGTTTTTATTTTTATATTTTATTTCGGCCACAGTCGAATAGAAACTCCGAATGCAGCCTCGATGATGCAAAAGACAAGATCCGAATAGGGGTATCTGATGGACTGCTTTGGATTCGGTTGTTAAACAGTCCTGTGCCCGTCGACAAACTTTGCCCCGCTTTCTCCATCATATTAGACCATGTCACATGATTTATTTGACAGAATTTGAACCCAGAAAAAGCAGTGTGTTGCTGTTCATAGCTTTTGACTCACACGACACAGATAAGAACTGTTGATAAATTTGTCCGGATAGCTCATACAAATTGGATTTTGTTACAAAATTGACGCACGCTGAGGTAGACAGCCCATCAATCGTTTTGGTAGGTAGCACAGCGTAAAATGATTTGAAGGTTGCCATTAAAACCTCCAGTGGGACCTTGAGTGAACGAGAATGAAGTCGCAGTATATGATCGATCATATCACGGTCAAAAGTTTAGTAAGGGAAGTGATTGAACCAGCTTTTGTTGTCCGATAATCTGGTAGGGCAAAAGACCACTGGTCCTTATAGAAGTGACATTTTTCGTTTTTCTAATAATTTTCATAAAGTTTCAGTTTTCGAATTTTCGCGCCGACAAAACCTCAGTCCACATCACCGACCATGGTTGATCTTGATTGATCTTTTTTCTTAGAACTCGGGACTTTCCAGCTTATTTTCAAGGTGATTCCTGACTGGTCCTGAAAATGTACATATAAAGAGATCATCGCTTTTTAGATCAAGTCAAATATACAATTTCACTTGAAGGCCTGTCTTCCGTCTTCCCTTTGATCGGATTCCGGGATCGTACTACTCTCACGGGGCGTTCTTCCGGTTCTGTTGGGAATTGTGTGGGGTACCACGGTCGAGCGTATTCGTGTTCCGTTCACTCGGTCACTGGATCGTTACGGTCTTCGCTCGTTTCGTTTTGGCTCACGATCCAAGCTAGTCCGGTCGTGTCGTTATCTCGAACGGGACAACATAATCACTCGCACATGGAATCACTGCAAGAAGGGGAGA